TTATTTAAGTTGTTTATCTCCTTTTCGTAACGCTTCGTGATCTTATTTATTTTTTCCATAATAGTTGTTTCTTGGAAGTTAAGACTTTCTTTAAAATCGCGAAGGTCGTTTTCTATGCTTAAGACTTTGGATTTGTTTACATCTACTTCTTTTTCAATTTTGTCTAACCGATTAGTGAGTATTTTTAAATTAGCACTAATTATATCAGTAAAGTTTTTCTCTTGATCTTTTAACAGGCGTTCTGTTTCTTTTAAAATACTCTTTTTTTGTTCTTCGAGTTTGTTTGTAATTAACTTCTCGATATTTTTTAATGTAATTTCCATTATTTTTAAAATTAACTTTAAAACTTATAAATACAAATATATAATGTATTATTGTTAAGGTTCTTTATTCGTTTTTCTTTTATGATTGTTTCGATAACCACGGATTAAAAAAAAGTTGATTGAATACTCAATTAGGCAGCCATCTTTGTTCGCCGTATGTCCGTAAAAAAATTTAGTTAAGTAATTCCAAACTTTAGTTAAAGTAGTAATGCATCTTATTAACACAAATAGAACTGTTTGTTAATTGTGTTTTTTATAGATAAGATAAATGAATATTGACATTAATAATAATTTAATCAATTGATAAATTTAAACAAAAACCTAATTCTAAATTAAATAAAGCATCATCGAGTGTAAAAAGTCTTCGTATAAAGTATTTTTAACCTCGTTTACCAGGATATAAGAAAAGTTTGTTTTGAAAAAATAAATTGTTTTTTCAAAACAAATTGCTTAAATGATTTTTTTTTTAGTTAAAATTGCCTTTTTCCAATTGCTTTAGTAAAACGCACCCAAGAATGAGTAAATTTTTAAAAAAATTTGAGTTGCTTTCTTAAAACCCATATAGAAATGAATAAACGCGCATATAAGAATGAATAAAAGCGCATTTAAGAATGAATAAAGACGCATATAAGAATAAGTAAAACGCGCATTTAAGAATGAATAAAGGCGCATTTAAGAATGAATAAAGACGCATATAAGAATAAATAAACGCGCATATAAGAATGAATAATGGCGCATTTAAGAATGAATAAAGACGCATATAAGAATGAATAAACGCGCATATAAGAATGAATATATGCGCATATAAGAATGAATAACCCTGTAATCTCTTTTTTGTTTAAGTTGTAAATTATTCTATAAAAAATATGTTTTTTTTTTCTATTTAAATATTTCTTTTTGTGGGAGGGGAAGTAGTGGGGGTTGGGTGGTCGGCGGATAAGGTAACTGAATGTTGACATGGCGGATGAGGTAACTGAATGTTGGTCTCTGGAAGTTTGATAGCTTGTTGACAAGGGAAGGATAAATAAATATTGCCGGAAAATCGTTGAGGTAATAATTGAACATTCCCTAGCTCTGGTCTGGAAAAGCTTTTGTATAAATCTCAGCTATATGCTTATATTTATTTTGCGGAAAAAGTGATCACGTGATCGAATCTTATTTTAGAAGACTTACTGATTAATTTTTTTACATAAAACAAATTTATAATGCAAACTTTGGAAAAAAATGCTTTTTCCCCATTTGACTTATTAAACAAAATTTCTGAAATTTGGGGAACTCTTTAGTAATGTAGTGATTGACTGCGTATTTTTGCTTCAATTCCAGTGACAGTGGCCTCAAGTGAGCGTTCATTCAGTAAATTGAAGCTCATCAAGTATTTTTTGCGCTCAACTATGAAATAAGAACGAACATGTGACCTCGCCATTTTGAGTATTGAAAGTCTATTAGCACGAAACATTGACTTTTATGACGTGAAACTTGCACCAACTGTTGGTATCTTGAGGGCAAAATTTATGACGCTCGAGCGGATCATTTGTGTTTGTGAAATGAAACAGTATTGCATATATAGCTTTTTTCATAGCATAAACATTGGAAAGGTTTGATCTCATTGCCATACCATAATAATTTTGCATGGAATCAATACATTTATCCGTCAGTTGACCTTTTTCAGAGACAGGAGTTTTTGTACCCTTGTAAGATTTAACAAGGTTGCGTAATCGGGTTTCTAATCGTTTCTGCACATGTCCAACGCATTCAAGCTTAATCGGTGTTAAACTATGTTTTACATATGGTTCAGATCTAACAACATCATTAAAAGAGGAAGTATCACCATCACCAAGATATTCTTTGTAAATTATGTTGTGCTTAATAATTGACCGGTTAAATATATCAACAGCACCAGATGACTCCATCGCACCAGAGGATTTTTCATGATTTATTTGACAATGGTGATCAATTTTCCATAAATCATATTCAAGTGAACCTTTCTTATATTCTTATTTTTACTACTATCTTCATGAAATTCCATTGTATTAATTATTAAAACAATCTATATTCAAAGACATACGGTTCTCTAAAGAGCAAATTTTTGTAAATAATATAAAGTATAAAATGTTCAATCAGCTTATTTATATGTCTGAGTAACGTTTGTGACTTCAAAATATGATACTTAGACCGCTAAAGATTGCAGATACATCCTTGTAAATGTACTGAGTAAAATAAGGCGCATATTATGATAGGAAAATAAAGAATAAACTTCTGTTTACGGTAACTAGGTACGTTGCTATGGACTCTGATGTTACCTCACAGTGTTTTAAAGTGTAAATATGGACCAAGAAATATTTTTTATTGTTCCCAATGTTAGTTGCATGAAAATAGACATATCAAAGGGTGAAAATCCACCATAAAAAAAAATTTCACAAAATTTTTTTTTTGATCATTATTTGCATCCTTTCCACCTTAATAGATGGACATTTAACGTATTGTTTAAAAGCCAAGTACTTTAGAGTTTTTTGGTGTTACTTTTCATAACACCAAAAAACTCTAAAAAGTTTATAAATAAATAAAACCATTTCATTTTATGATCAATAAACTCAAGCGAAATCTTTACATGGAAAATAAAAGTTAATCACAGAAAAATATCAAAACAAAATTGTAAGTGAAATAAAATTTCTGAAAAAAATGAGAAATTTGAATACTTAAAATAATAGTGAAAACTAAGTGTAGGGAATAGAGACCACAAGTAATCTATAGTTCGATCTATATATGATCTACAGTTTTACCTACAACATCTAGAAAAATCGTTTCACTTTGCAGTTTTCATTCTTGCTAACTACATATCACTTTTTTACAAAAATATAATTTTTGACGTTTTATTAATAATAAGTTCTTATTAAAAAGCGCTCAAGATCAAGTTTGACATTTTAAAACAGATGAGCTATTTCTGATTAACTAAAATGCATTAATTAAAAAAAGTTAGAGTTTTGTTGGTAGTTGCACTTTTTAAAAAAAGTAGTTAGAAAAGCGAAAATATTGGATAAACGTCTAAAAAAACTTTACTTTTTTTCTAATTAACAGTCATCTCACATATGCTAATATTGTGTGTGCTTATACACACAAAACAAAATTAATCAAACTACAAGGCTTACGAAACCATGGTTGTAAAGCAATTCATTATCTAGGTAGAATGTACAATCCTACTAATGCAATGACAAATATGAAAGTCTTAAACTTAAAAAAACTTATTTTATACCAGATTCTAATCTTTATGCTCAAATGTAAAAATAATATGCTACCCAACTATTTTTTAGACATATTTTCGCCATCATTTTCTCAAAGTTATAATCTGCAATCAAATAGTTTCCATAACTATTACATTAAAAAAACTAAAACCCGGGGTTCTGAATTTTCAATTACTTCACAGGGTCCCAAAATATGGAAAAACTTGAAAAATCAAAAATTAAATAACTTAAATAGAATATCGTCGTTTAAACGGCAAGCAAATCTGCATATTCTTAGTTTGTAAAAATGATTGCAGTCAGAGGCGATTTTTCAAATAAAATGAGGGGGAGGGGGGGATGGTGAATTCTAAAAATATGCCGACTAGCTGCAAAAAAAAAAAAAGAAAAAAAAGAAAAAAAAAAAAAGGTCCTCAACACGAGAATTTAACCGACTACCCGACTGAATTCGTAAAAAAACCGACTGAAACTTGAAAATCACCATCATAGGAGGAGGGGGGTTTTACACCCCGTAAAATCGCCCCACACAATTCCCTTCCCCGTAAAATCGCCCCTGATTGCAATATATTTAAAAAATTAAATATATATATATATATATTTTCAATACATGCAAGTTAAGGTATATATTTTTGTAATATATTTGATTTTTAGGCTTTCTCATTGATCACTTAAAGAATGTTATAAAAGCGCTGTAAGGCGCAAAAAGTTATGAAAAGTGTCAAAAAAATTCAAAAACAACTTAGCTAAAAGGTATATTAAAAAGAAGATAAAGGAAAACAAATTCCGGATTTTTTTGTGGATATTTCATTATTTTTAAAATATGATTAGGATGATCTATGTATACAGTTATAAGTGCAGTCTATTAATTATATAATAATAAATGATAAAAACCTATTAGTAATATAACATATTAGGTTTATAGGTGCGTTCTGAAGTATTTATACTTTTAATATGAATAAATATAAAACTTTGATTAAAACTATTACCATAATAAAAGAGCCTCTCTAATATACCGTGCTGTGTTATAGATTTATAGATATACTTATAGATTTACTTTATAAGATATAATTATAGATATACTTATAGATTTTCAAAAATAAAATTTAAAATTTATAAGAAAAGGGTAAACTTGGTCTATTTCCCCCTCTCCTTCTATGAACCCATCTCGTTTTAATGTTAATATAATAATTTTTTCAATTTCTATTTTTGATAGGAAATACTCTGAAACTTGAGTGACAACTGATAGGAGAGAAGGTCTTGAAACCATTAAGTTTTTATTTATAGTGATATTTTTGATTTATTGCTAAGTGTTTATGAAAACCCAGAGATTGCTATTTTAATTAGAGACAACTATAGAACTTACTAAAATTGATAACCTTATTGCTATAAAGAAAATAATAGATCATATCATAACTATAGATCAAAGATATATCAAATATATATCAAAGGTTTTATTATTGAAATATACAGAAATATGTTCTAAAAAAAGTTCTGTTTGACGGATCTATTTTTGTCATGTTACAAATAATTGAACGGGCTCTACTCTATCATGTTTAAATCTTTCAAACGACGATTTTTATTGTTCAGAATTTTAGTTCTTTCGTTCGTTAATATAACTTTTTATTAATATAACTTTGAAAGTGTTGTATTAGTTGTGTCTCCTCATTCAAAACCCATTTATGATATTTTCTTTCTGAAATTTGTTTTGCAGTCAAAATAAATCAGCTATAACATATGCCAGTTAAAAAATTTACACATAAATGTTTTGTTTAACAATGTAATACATTAAAAACTTAACAAAAGTATTTTCATTTTATGCATTTATAATTAACAACTATTACTATAAATACTAATAACAACCTGTCTATCTACTTTTGTTTAATAGTTTCACCCTGTTACATAAGTTATTATTCTAAAATATACCTGGCACAATTTCAGGTTGGTAAATTTTCCTTCTTTCTTGTTTGTACCTCTGCTTCTTGTTTGTACGTCTTAGAAATGTTTGAAAAAAGAACTTTATTAAATCATATTTATTGATATGATTATATATATTTTTAAAAGAAATATGTTTTTTAGGAAAGATATTACAGATAATTATATGCAGTATTATAAATATGTTGTTTAATTATGTTTTAAGAGTTTTATAAACATTCTAGCATAAAAGTTAAATTAACATTTTAAGTTTGTTATTTTTTGAATTTAGCTTAATTTTAATGTTTATTGGACCGTTTTATGAAACAATGTGCACGCTGTGAGACACAAAGAACGCTGATATACCGCCGCGTTTTTATGTCGTGACACTCAAATAAAACCTGTTTTATTTAAGTTTGTTTGGAAACAATCCAAAAAAAAATTTAAAGAGTCACAAATGGAGCAAAAGGGTTAATAGAAGGGCCAAAGTCAAATTTGCTGAATGTTAAAATAAATAGGCTAAGGCTGAAATAAACACTCTTTTATTCATGATATTTTACAAATTTATTTAAAAATAGAAAAGAGCAATGTTAAAACTAAATAAAAATGCTAAGGGTCACGATTGGGGCAAAGTTGAGGTAAAATTGACCGGCCCTATTAAGAATTTTAGATGCCATTTACAGTTTTTTTAAAAATTGTTCATTTTATTGGCAAAATTGACCTTTTAGACCAGTCAGTCCGTAAATATAGACTGACTTGTCTAAAAGGTCAATTTTGCAGACAAAATGAAAAGAAAATTGTTCATTAGTTCACTTTGACATACTGTTTTAGAGCCCTTTTGAACAGCCAGTAAATGAATTTTAATAAACAAGATTTTTTTAATCAGCTAAACTTTTAATTGTACACCACTCCCTACCTCCACGTGACACCTAATGCAATGTTAAAGCTTAGAAAACTACAATAAAAAATGCAAATATTTAATTGAAAAAAAAAATCAAAGTAACATATGCTTAACTACCATATCTAGTATCTGGTGATTGTTGAGCATCAATTTGACTTACAAAACACTCCGAAGTAGTAAGTGTACTGGAATTTGCACCTTGATTAAATAAAAAGAGTTCAACATTTTCGCATTTAACTGTATCTAAGAAATTTTATCTGTATAAATAAAAAATATATATTACGCACAAATAACTAATCTATTTAAAAAAATAAAGTGACGAATGCCAAACTACCATATCTAATATCTATAGAGTTTTTACCTTCATTTTGACTTGCAAAACACTCCAAAGGAGTAAATGTTCTTGAACTTACACCCTCATTAGATAAAAAATAGTTTAACATTTTCTAATAAAAGTGTATCGATGGAAATTTTATTTGTATAAATTAAAAAAATAAATTAAACCAAAACATTCAAATTCTTAAAAAAACGTAAGTATATCAGCATAACTACCACATCTTGTATCTGTAGACTTTTGACGATTATTTTGACTTGCAAAACTCTCCGATGAAATAAATGTATTAGAACTTGCACCTTTATTAGATAAAACATACTTTTACATTTTTGCATATAAGTTTATTGATAAAAATGTTTTTTTTTTGTATAAATTTAATAAACAAATTAAAACCCAAACATAAATTTTGATAAAATAAAATTTATTAGCAACTGCATAAATACCATGTCCTATATTTGAAGATTTTTGACTTTTGTTTTGCTTTGCCAAACTCTCTGATGAAATAAATTTACTGGAACTTGCACCTTCATTAGATGAAAAGAGTTTTACATTTTCGCATGTAACTTTTATTTGTATAAATCATAAAACATATTAAAATCCAAATATTTAGTCTCTTAAAAAAAAAAAAAAGGTAACCAAAGCGTAACTACCATATCTAATATCTGTAGATTTTTGACGTTCATTTTGACTTGCAAAACACTCCGAAGGAGTAAATGTGCTGGAACCTGCACCTTTATTTGATAAAAAGAATTCAACATTTTCGCATATAAGTTTATAGATAAAAGGTTTTTCTGTATAAGTCATATAAAAAAACTAAAACCCGAACATCAGTTTTGTTAAAATAAAATTTATTTATAACTTCAAAAATACCATATCTTTTCTCTGCATATTTTTGAACTTTATTTTGCTTTGCAAAACTCTCCGATGGAGTAAATTTACTGAAACTTGCACCTTATTTGGATGAAAAGAGTTTAAAATTTTCGCATATAAGATTATAAACCAAGTTTTTATTAGTATAAATCATAGAAATATAATAAAACCCAAATACTTAAACTGTTAAAAAAAGGTAACAAATGCGTCACTACCATATCTAATATCTGTAGAATTTTGACCTTCATTTTGACTTTCAAAACAATCCAAAGGAGTAAATGTATTGAAAACTGTACCTTTATTAGATAAAAATAGTTAAACATTTTCTAATTAAACTTTGTCTATGGAAATTTTATTTGTATAAACTAAAACACAACACAACACTCCGAAGGAATAAATGTACCTAAACTGGCATCTTTATAAGATTAAAATAGTTTAAAATTTTCTAATATTAGTTTATCAATGGAGATTTTATTTGTATAAACTATAAAACTAAATTAAACCATAATATTCAAAAGTTTAAAAATATGTAAATACAACTAGATTACTACCATAACTTGTATCTGTTGACTTTTGACGTTCATTTTGACTCGCGAAACTCTCCGATGGAATTAATGTACTAGAACTTGCACCCTCTTTAGATAAAAATACTTTTACATTTTTGCATATAAGATTATTGATAAAAGGTTTTTTGTATAAATCATATATATAACTTAAAATCCAAATATTTCTTTTGCTAAAAAAAAAGTTAGGTAACAACTTTATAAATACCATATATTGTATCTGCAGATTTTTGACTTGCATTTGGATATGCAAAACTCTCTGATGGATTAAATGTACTAGAAGCTGCACCTTTGTTTGATGAAAATAGTTTTAAATTTCTCATACAAGTTGATCAATAAAAATTTTGTTTTTATAAATTATAGAAACATTTCAAAAGCTAAATATATTATTTGTAAGAAAAAAAAAATTACAACTGCTAGTTACCATATCTTTTATCAGTAGATTTTCTTGCATTTTGACTTGCACAACTCTCCGAATCGGTAAATAAACTAGAACTTCCGCCTTTATTAGATAAAAATAGTTTTACATTTTTCTCAAATAAGTTTATCAAAATTAAATCTTATATGAATAAATCAAAGAAATAAGTTAAAGCACAAATATTTCAATTATTAAAACAAAGTATGTAACATCTTTGTAACTACCATATCTTGTATTTGTAGATTTTTGACTTTCAAAACTCTTCGAATGAGTAAATGTAATGGAACTTGCATCTTTTTCAGATAAAAATAGTTTTGGGAATCAATGTGATTTAAATTTGTATAAATCATAGATATTAATTAAGAAGGCAATATTTAAGTTGTTAAAAAAAATAAGTAAAACTGCATATTTACCATATCTTGTATCTGTAGATTTTTGACACTCGTTTTGACTCTCCGATGGAATAAATGTACTTGCACTTGTACCTTCATTAGATAAAAATACATTACATTTCACATAGTTTTTCGATCAAAGGTTTTTCGATCAAAGGTTTTTTTATATAAGTCAATAAAATATTTTGTTAAATACGTTGTAAAATATACTAGATAAAATGAATAAAATATTATATTTCTCAACATGATATTTTCGACATAAAACAGCATTTTAAACAATATGCGTCTTATAGCGCTTTTGTAAGAATATATATATATATATATATATATATATATATATATATATATATATATATATATATATATATATATATATATATATATATATATATATATATATATATATATATGTACATATATATATATATATATATATATATATATATATGTATATATATATATATATATATATATATACAAAAGCGCTATAAGACGCATATTGTTTAAAATGCTGTTTTATGTCGAAACAGATTTAAACATAAAACATAATTGTGATTTTTATTTAAAGCATATTTTTGGTATTATTTTAATATTTAAAGAATGCTTATGCAAAAAAATGATAAAATAAAAAAGTTTTCAAAATTTATATGCGCTTTAATTCAAAAAATATAAATAAAATTTATGTCGAAGTGATAACTTTGCGTGCTTACGACTAACTTTAACAGCAAGACGTCGCTATTGATTTACTAAAACGTCTTAATTTTCTTATGAAGTCGTTAAAAAGACAATTTAATCGTTAATGAAAACGCGTATATATAAAATAATTAAATACTTTTACTTTGAAATAACTTTGAGCCACTTAATAAAATAACTGTTGTTTTGTTTTGAAAATGTTTGATTTTATTGGTTGATTAACGAAGCGATTACTGCAAATATGTTTAAAAATACAGTAGGTCAACAATTTAGTAGGTTGGAAAACTAGTTGAACATGTTTAAATTACATGTAAATATATAAAAATCTAAAACTGTCGGTTGAAAATTAAAAACGTCATATATTATGGTTTATAAATATTCCAAATTAGGTCACCTTTTAGAGGAAGCATTAAAGAAGAAATGATAAAAACTTAAAACAAAAATTTAGTTTAAAAGGAAGCTATACAGAAGATTTTTTTATATTTTTGTGTTTAGGGGAGACTTGGACTAGTTGCAACAATGCGTTATAAAGGATGGTTTTTATCAAGGCCGGTGCAATGGGAGGGGGTGTTTGTGTGGGTATGACCCCTCCCTTTTCATCAATGATTTTTTCGTTTATTTAGTCGGTAAAAGTTGTACTGGCACCCCCCATCCCCCACGTGACATTTATAAAACTCCAATATTTTTTTTGATGATATGATATTAACTCTTACTCCAAAAAAAAAGAAGCCTAGTCAAACATTTTGGTTATATTACTTATTACTGATATATAAATATATAAACTAAATAGTCCACTTTTTGTTTCTTACATTCTTATTTTTCACGTCATGAAAGTCAATGTTTCGTGCTAATAGACTTTCAATACTCAAAATGGCGAGGTCACATGTTCGTTCTTATTTCATAGTTGAGCGCAAAAAATACTTGATGAGCTTCAATTTACTGAATGAACGCTCACTTGAGGCCACTGTCACTGGAATTGAAGCAAAAATACGCAGTCAATCACTACATTACTAAAGAGTTCCCCAAATTTCAGAAATTTTGTTTAATAAGTCAAATGGGGAAAAAGCATTTTTTTCCAAAGTTTGCATTATAAATTTGTTTTATGTAAAAAAATTAATCAGTAAGTCTTCTAAAATAAGATTCGATCACGTGATCACTTTTTCCGCAAAATAAATATAAGCATATAGCTGAGATTTATACAAAAGCTTTTCCAGACCAGAGCTAGGGAATGTTCAATTATTACCTCAACGATTTTCCGGCAATATTTATTTATCCTTCCCTTGTCAACAAGCTATCAAACTTCCAGAGACCAACATTCAGTTACCTCATCCGCCATGTCAACATTCAGTTACCTTATCCGCCGACCACCCAACCCCCACTACTTCCCCTCCCACAAAAAGAAATATTTAAATAGAAAAAAAAAACATATTTTTTATAGAATAATTTACAACTTAAACAAAAAAGAGATTACAGGGTTATTCATTCTTATATGCGCATATATTCATTCTTATATGCGCGTTTATTCATTCTTATATGCGTCTTTATTCATTCTTAAATGCGCCATTATTCATTCTTATATGCGCGTTTATTTATTCTTATATGCGTCTTTATTCATTCTTAAATGCGCCTTTATTCATTCTTAAATGCGCGTTTTACTTATTCTTATATGCGTCTTTATTCATTCTTAAATGCGCTTTTATTCATTCTTATATGCGCGTTTATTCATTTCTATATGGGTTTTAAGAAAGCAACTCAAATTTTTTTAAAAATTTACTCATTCTTGGGTGCGTTTTACTAAAGCAATTGGAAAAAGGCAATTTTAACTAAAAAAAAAATCATTTAAGCAATTTGTTTTGAAAAAACAATTTATTTTTTCAAAACAAACTTTTCTTATATCCTGGTAAACGAGGTTAAAAATACTTTATACGAAGACTTTTTACACTCGATGATGCTTTATTTAATTTAGAATTAGGTTTTTGTTTAAATTTATCAATTGATTAAATTATTATTAATGTCAATATTCATTTATCTTATCTATAAAAAACACAATTAACAAACAGTTCTATTTGTGTTAATAAGATGCATTACTACTTTAACTAAAGTTTGGAATTACTTAACTAAATTTTTTTACGGACATACGGCGAACAAAGATGGCTGCCTAATTGAGTATTCAATCAACTTTTTTTTAATCCGTGGTTATCGAAACAATCATAAAAGAAAAACGAATAAAGAACCTTAACAATAATACATTATATATTTGTATTTATAAGTTTTAAAGTTAATTTTAAAAATAATGGAAATTACATTAAAAAATATCGAGAAGTTAATTACAAACAAACTCGAAGAACAAAAAAAGAGTATTTTAAAAGAAACAGAACGCCTGTTAAAAGATCAAGAGAAAAACTTTACTGATATAATTAGTGCTAATTTAAAAATACTCACTAATCGGTTAGACAAAATTGAAAAAGAAGTAGATGTAAACAAATCCAAAGTCTTAAGCATAGAAAACGACCTTCGCGATTTTAAAGAAAGTCTTAACTTCCAAGAAACAACTATTATGGAAAAAATAAATAAGATCACGAAGCGTTACGAAAAGGAGATAAACAACTTAAATAAGAAGACATTAGATTTGGAGAATCGATCTCGAAGAAACAACCTAAGATTAGATGGAATATTTGAAAAGCCAAATGAAAATTGGAATGAGTGCGAAAATGCAGTAAAGGAAATGTTTAAAAAACAACTAAAAATTAGTAATGAAATTATCATAGAAAGAGCTCATAGAATAGGCCAACCTAAAGAAGATAAGAAACCAAGAACGATTGTCCTAAAGTTATTAAATTTTCAAGACAAAACAAAAATACTTAACGCTACAAAAAACTTGCGAGGAACTGGGATATATGTTAATGAGGATTTCGCTAAAGAAACGATGGAAAGCCGAAGGATGTTGTGGGAAGAGGTCAAAAAGTTGCGACTTGAAGGTAAGTATGCAGTTATAAAGTATGATAAAATTGTTTCTAGAGAATTTCGAAAGTAAATGCGCTCATTCTTAATAAGAACTCCTTTTTAATTTATTTGTGATAATTAATCATGGCTTTAATAAGTGACTTTGAAACTCTTGTCTTCAATTTTTTTGAAACAAAATTTTTTTCACTACACGAAAACTCCGACCCAGATATTAATTATTTCCATGATACAAAAATAGAATGTTCTTACTACTATCCAAATGAATTAAAAGGAATTCTATTTAAGAATGTTAACAATGATCAAATTAGAATTCTGCATGTAAATATCAGAAGCATTAATTGTAATTTTGAAAAATTCCAAAATTTACTCGAGGAAACTAAGTACTTTTTTAATATTATTTGCTTAACTGAAACTTGGGCAACCTCAAACGACATAAAAAAAAATTTTAATTTTTATCTTTCTCATTTTGAAATGATCTCTCTCGAAAGACAAATAAATAAGCGCGGTGGTGGAGTTCTAATTTACATTCATAAAGATATAAAGCATTGTTGTAGAAATGATCTTAGTGTTTCTGACGGCGATGGAGAAATATTAACAATTGAGATTATTAATGAACGAACAAAAAATATTTTAGTTAGCTGTTGTTATCGACCGCCAGATGGCGTGAGCGAGAACTTGAGCATGTTTTTACAGCAAAATGTTATTGCAAAAGGTAACAACGAAAAGAAAAAAAACTTTCTTGTTGGTGATTTTAATATGAATTGTTTTGTCTACAATGACGATAACAAAGTTAAAAATTTTTATGATACAATTTTTGAATCTGGAGCAATCCCTTTAATAAATCGCCCAACAAGAATATCAAAAAATTCAGCAACTTTGCTGGATAATA